ATGTGTGTATACATGTATGTACGTATGTATGTACGAATCAAATGTATGTATGCATATATATATATATATATATATATATGTGTGTGTGTGTGTGTGTGTCGTCAGATGATTTTATAGTTTTATCAATATCCCTCCTATGTTTTTAACGGTATCACTTTCATGTCTTGCTACTTAATTGCTTGTATAATTTATGAATTCATCAACGAATATGTAGGACATATCAGAACAAATCTGTACACACATACTTATCACATACTCACATACTACCACCATTCAACCCGAAACATAAACATGAATAGATGCGACCACAATTCCCGACAAATGTTCAGGTATACCTATGCACAGGTGCATAGCTCCCATAACGTATACGCCTATAAGAGTACAATCGTACACAGCTAATATGGCTGATTGATGGTGTTTTCTGCACTAAGAGATGGTAAACCCCCCGAAGCATTGATGTATCTTGATTTCGGATGGAAAGTAAGGGATGCAATTACTTTACATATTTATAGACATAGAGCAACATACTATCCTATATATGCAAGCTCACACAAAAGCATATAAGACATACACACCGGCAGGAACGATAGGACGCAACTGAAACAACTGAATAAAAATGTCATCCGCATGTGTAGAATGCAGACGCTTCTTACGAAACATTTCTGTGGGTCGATGTCCCGAGTGAAGGGGGTGGGATTGACGCCCTATACATATACAAAAAACATACTCGCGTATACGACACAACAGCCTGACACCTGCACACAGACCAGAACAATAGCACATGATACCACTTGACTATTGGTGCTATATGCATGTACAGGAAGTTGACGATCCCTACGAAGCATTTGTGTGGGTCGATTTTCCAAGTGAAGAAGATGGGAAGAAAGTGATCCAACGGTCAGTGCTTGCAAGTGAACTCTACGACGTCTGGGGGTGGGGTCACTCTGTGGAAGACGCCTATGCACAAGCCCATACAGTCACGCCAGAACGGATGGTATGTATATTGTGTGCATGTGTATCAAAGTGTCATTGGATGCAATGCAAGTATATTTGTTTGTATATAGACGTATATATATATATATATATATATAGGCATGTTCGTGTCGTATGTGTTTGATATGTGAGGGCTGGGGCACTGTGGAATGGTCCAAGCACAAGCCTATACGTATAGTATATATATACCTTTTCGTGTTTCAACGCATATTCACACTCACCTTCGCACTATTTTGCGTGATCTAAACTGACATATTGCAAGCCTACATGATACGTTTGCTGATTTGAGTCTCGGCTCTTTTCAGCACAAACGCGCATACACGATTATTCGTGTACCGTAGCTCAACTACTAACAACGGGATACAAATCTAATGAACTCAATTACTAGAACAGAAGCCCTACCATCAGAATAAACTTGAAAGCTAGTAGCGGCATGCAAGTGTCTAGATATATGCGCATATAAACATATAACTCGAGCGTGAAAGATCGAAGGATAGGTTTGGACGGTGGTCCGAGGGCTTATTGATGTGCCATAGGTTGATCCGAATTGTTGATGCGGGTAAACTAGTTTCACTTGAATATATATATATACACACCCCGCAAGCTTCAATACCTACACAAGTATGTACATATTTTCATACATATGTAGGCTCAACTGTATTTGACTAAGCACATAAGTGTTCTATCCTGTGTACGCCTACAGTCCATGTCAACCCCTGACGGATATTCAAGGTGATGATCGACGCATATGGAGTGATCAAGAATGGTAGCCACTAACAAACCATTATATATATATATATATATATATATAAACGCAGATATCGATAACACGATATATATATATATATGCATATGTCACCCGATATCTGAACACACGCACATTCATATTTTGTATGTATAGGGTCGATGTTCAGAGCCTGATGTGACCTTCAAGGTGGTGGTCGATGCATACGGTGTGAATATGAAACGCAGTTACCAACGCACCATCTTCCCATATTGGGCGGACTTCACACTCCCTGGTCAGGTTGATCTTGAGGTATGTTTATGCGGTAAGTACTTGCAAAATTATATATATATATATATATATATATATATATATATTATATGTGTGTGTGTGTGTGTAGTGTATATATGTTATT